ACCCCTTACATACTTACACTGTCATGTTATGTAATCCTCTGAGGGAGGTACCATTATCATCCCTGTTTTACAGCCAAGAAAAGCGGTTTGAACCCACCAATGCCTCGCGGGAGGCTCCGCGGTAGAAAAGACCTGGGATCTGCTCTCCTAAAGATTACAGTCTAGGAAACCCTATGGGGTAGTTCTATTCTGTCCTATAGGGTCGTTGTAGGCTGGAATTGACTCAATGTCAAACAACAACAACAAGGGCTCAGTGACTGTTAGATGTTCTGGCTTTATTATTGTTGTTGTTTCTTGGGCACCTACCATGTGCCAAGCACGTGGTAGGGACTTTCAGTGCAGGATCTCGCATCTTATTCCTAATAGTCCTTGTGCAGTAAGTATCGCCGCCATTTGCGCGTGAGGAAATTGAGGATGGGGAAGGGGAGGCAGAGAGAGGAGAGAGAAGACCCAGGAGAAGCCCTGGTGGCCTCAGGCCAGGAGGCGGGTCCGCTGGGGGTGTGGCCGGCCTTGGGGCCCCATTGGCTGCTCGGAGGAGACAGGGGAATAAAGCCCCGGACTTAGTAGAGCCTGGGACAATTCAGAGGACAGTCTGCCTGTATAGTCTTTCTCTCCAGCCTTCCGTGGACAGTCTACCGCCAGTCACTGCCTCCCTCCCTCCAGCTGCTGGCTCCACTGCCTTTGCCTGGTAAGCAGCCCCCATCCTCTGCCCCTCCCCAGGATTAGAATCTTTGGGGCCAGCCCGGAGGCTTGAAGGTGGGGGGAAGAGGCGGCAGACTGGTCGAGTATAAAAACCCAAGCTTTGGAGTCAGACTTGCCTGGGTTCGAATCCAGCTCTGTGCCTCGGTTTTTCTCATCTCTAAAATGGAGACAATAATAGAACCTTCCTCACAGACTTGTTGTGAAGGTGAAATGAGATCATGCACTTAAAGTGCCCAGCCAAGGCAAAATAATAGTATGTGTTGAGGGCTTACTATGAGGCAAGTGAGAAGGTGAGAAGGGGGGAGCAACTTCTGACCCCCGGGGGGTCACACAGGCAGTGGCTTCCTGCGCCCCCTCTCTCCTCCGTGTCTGCCATCACCTCCCTTTCAGAAGTCTTGCCTTCTTCAGGGCAGGGTGGGCATGGCAGGCCGGTGCGCTTTATGGATGCCCCCGTAGTCAGTGTGCCTGGACAGAGGGAAAATGCCTGGACATGGTATGGGAGGGGATTCCCAAGATCCTCCTCAAAAGGGGTCTTGGTGGTCTGCTTCTCCCTACCCCACCCATGAGACCTCCCTGAGGCCAGGGGCTTAGGGATCTAAACTAGGCTTTAACGTTTAACTGGGATATCATTGTTTGGGGGGTGGGGTATGCCCAGGAGCTGGATATTAATTCAAACAGATTTGGGGATTCCTCTGTTTTGGGGTGACTTTTATTCAAGAGATCTAGGGAAGAGGTGGTATCTGTTTGGGTCCCACCTCCTAGGCCCTGTGAATTTAGACAGACACGAGGGCACTCACATTTGGGGGTGCTAAGATTGGTGAGGTGGTCAGGAACCCCACCCCCATTTTCCTTCTGATCCAAGGGTATCTGGCCCAGTCTAGGAGGGGTGATGCCTGAGCCAGGAGTCCCAGGGTGCGGGGACTAGACCAGATGATGCTTTTGGGAATGGAAAGGGGAGTAGCTATCCTTGCCTGGCCTTCTGGGTGACGTGAGTGGGGAGTCAGAAAAAACCCTCACCCAACGACCCCCGATCTTTCCCAGCTCAGCCCAAGCTGGGGAAAATCAAGGGAACGATGGAAGGGCCAAGTATGTATGAGTGCATGTGGCCAGACTCCAGGCCACCTCAACTTCCGAATCACTCAGAACCTTCACACTAATGTGTCCTGGACAGAGCCTGGGCTCTGGAGCCAGGGGCAGATTAACCAGTAAGCAAGGTACGCACAGGCTTACTTGTGTTTACTTATTAATCTGCAGTGCCCAATTTCACATGGGTTTCACCACAAAAACAGGCCAAATTGTGTTCTGTAGATTAGTAAGTAAGCACAAGTAAGCCCATGCATACCTTGCTTATTGGGTAATTCATCCCTGTCTGGAGCCGATGACTTCAGTTCAAATCCTGCCTCCCCTACTTGCGAGCTGTGTGACCTTGGACAAGTCATTTTAATATTCTATTTCCTTTTGCTGTGTAACAAACCACCACAAAACTTAGTGGCTTAAACCAACAGCAATCATTTTATTATTATGTGTCACGGTTCTGGGGCTTGGCTGGGCTCAGCAAGAAAGTTCTCACTTGGTGGAGATGGAGTCATTTCAAACATTTCCTCGCTTACATGTCTGGCAGTTGACGTGGGCTGTCTGCTGGGATCTCAGTTGGAATACCTACATGTGGACTCTGCATATGGCTTGGGCTTCCTCACAATATGGTGGCTGGGTTCTGAGTGGAAGCTTCCCAAGAAACAAAGGGGAGCAGGGCTTTCATCATCTAGGCTTGTCCTGCAGCCAGCTCACACAGGCTCTCTGGAGCTGATTGTATGCATATCTCCCCAGCTCCATGTTCAGGGATATGACACAATGTAGCTTGAAATTGGCCACTGTGGGAGTATGTACAAGAAACACTACAAAACAGAACTTTTTTTTTTTTCCTTCAGAGATTCAATTGTTAAACATTTACCAGCACATCACTACTTGGAAGTCACAAAGTGTCACTTCCTCCATAGTCACAGACCCCCCCCCCCCCGAGGATTCAAGGGGAAGAAACAGAGCCCCCACCCTTACCAGTTTCTTGTGTATGTTTCCTGAAATGTTCTGTGTGCATGGAAGCTTCTGGATTGTCTACATGTATGTATACGGAGTATATATGTGTGTCCCTATATTTTTTGCATGAGTAGACAATGGCTGATATCCTGCCCTTGCTTTATTCATTTAACCATCATGCAGCTCGTTCCATATCCGCACACAGAAATCCATCTCCACCTCATGTTTTTCAAAAGCTGCAAAGGTCTTATGAATATAGATGCAAAAATCCTCAACAAAATACTAGCAAATAGAATCCTAGAGCATATTAAGAGTCATACACCATGATCAAGTGGGATTTATTTCAGGAATGCAGGGATGGTTCAGCATTAGAAAATCAATCAACGTAATACACCATATCAATAGAACAAAGGAAAAGAACCACAACGTTGTCTCCATGGATGCAGAAAAAGCATTTGGTAAAATCCAACACCCTTTCTTGATGAAAACCCTGAAGAAAATTGGACTAGAAGGGAAATTCCTCAATACGATTCAGGGCATATATGAAAAGCCAACAGCCAACATTATACTTAATGCATGAAGACTGAGAGCTTTCTCCCTTGAAATCAGGAGCAAGACAAGTCTGCCTGCTCTCACCACTTCTATTCAGTATTGCATTAGCAGTCCTAGCCAGAGCAATAAGACAAGAAAAAGAAATAAAAGGAATCCAGATCGGAAAATATTAAGTAAAATTATCTCTATTTGCAGATGATATGATCCTCTTGTATAGAAAATCCCAAAGAGTTCACAAGGAAACTTCTAGAGCTAATAGAGGAATTTAGCGAAGTTGCAGGGTACAAGGTCAACAAACAAAAATCAGCTGGATTCCTATACACCAGCAATGAAAAATCTGAAAGGAAAATTAAGGAAATAATTCCATCTACAGTAGAACCTAAGAGAATAAAATACCTAGGAATAAATCTAACCAGGGACAGGAAAGACTTATACAATAAAAACTATAAAACACTGCTGAAAGAGATTAAAGAAAACTTAAATAAATGGAAAGATGTTCCATATTCATGGATTGGAAGACCTAATATTGTTAAGATGTAAATACTACCCAAAGCGATCTATAGATACAACGCAATCTTAGTTAAAATTTCAATGCCCTTTTTACAGAAATAGAAAAATAAATCATCAACTTTATATGGAATGACAAGAGGCCCCAAATAGCTAAAACAATGTTCAAAGAGCACAAAGTAGGGGGATTCACACTTCCTGATTTTAAACATACTATATAGCTACAGTAATCAAAACAGCCTGATACTAGTATAATAATAGACACATAGACCAATGGAATAGAATTGAGAGTCCAGAAGTAAACCCACAATATATCCAAAAAGAATCTAATAACCAAAATATACACAAAACGTCGACAACTTACCAACAAAAGATGAACAACCCAATCATAAAATGGGCAAAGAACTTCAACAGACATTTCACCAGAGAGGACATTCAAATAGCCACCAAACACAGCACCATTAGTCATCAAAGAGATGCAAATCAAAACCGCAATGAGATGCCATTTCACTCCCACTAGGAGCCCCTAGTGGTGCAGTTGTTAAGCATTCACTGCTAACCAAAGGTTGGTAGTTTGAATCCACCAGCTGCTCCTTGGAAACCTTATGGGACAGTTCTACTCTGTCCTGTAGGGTCACTATGAGTCAAAATCAACTTGATGGCAAAGTTTTGTTTTGTTTTGTTTTTTTAGGATGGCTAAGCTAAAATCCAGAAAATAACAAACGTTGACGAGGAGGTGGGAAATTGGAACCCATATCCGTTGCTGGTGGGAATGTAAAATGGTACAGCCATTGTGGTAAACAGTGTGGCGGGTCCTCAAAAAACCAAAAATAAAACTACTATATGACCCGGCAATCCCACTCCTAGGTATATACCCAAAAGACTTGAAAGCAAAGACTCAAAAAGAGACTTGTACACCAATGTTCATTGCAGCACTATTCACAATGGCCAAAAGGTGGGAACAATCTAAATGTCCATCAACAGATGAATGGATAAACAAAATGTGGTACATACATACAGTGGGGATGGAGCTTGAAGACATTATGCTGAGTGAAATAAGCATGATGCTATCATCTGGGCTCTTCCCTTGGTCTGCCTGAGAGTGAGGGAAGGGGTCGCCCGGAGCCATGCTGTCTACTGTGGGGTGGCTGCTGACCCCAGGGCCAGCTCTGCTGACCCTCTGGGTCTCCTTCCTTTCCCCAGCAATGACATCTGAAGAGGTTCTGCATGTGAAGACCCCCATCCGGGACAGCATGTCCATGTCCAAGGTGGCGGGCACCAGTGTCTACCTCAAGATGGACAGTGCCCAGCCCTCTGGCTCCTTCAAGATCCGGGGCATTGGGCACCTCTGCAAGACGGTACAGGATGGGTTTCCATATTAGCTGGGCGGGGGGCAAATCCTCCTTCCTGGACAGGGCAGGGCCAGTGCTGCGTGTGGTCTAAGGAGCCCCAGGGTGGGCCACTGCTCCCCACAATGAGTGCCCACCATTAGAGCTTCCTCTGGTTAAGGGGTGCCCATCCATGAGGGTCCCCTCATGGACTGATCCCTAGGCCATCAGTTGCCTCTCTCTCCTTCACCCTCCCATGAGCCAGATGTAGTCTTGGGGGACTAGGACAGTACAGGATGGGCTACTGTAAGTTGGAATCTTCTGGAAAACATTCTAGGTGGGAGGGAAGAGCCCAGGCCCAGACTGGGAGATAGGCTCACCGTCTCCCACCTTGTCTTCCACAGTGGGCTGAGCAAGGCTGTGAACATTTCGTCTGCTCCTCAGGTAAGCGACCTGCAGCCTATGTGCCTCTGCCTGCCCTGGGCTGTGTGTCCCAGGGCCAGGCTCTCCACCTCTCTGGGCCCTGATTTCCCCAGCTATGAGAGGTGGCAAACATTTGCAGCGTTCCCAGTTTGGAATTTTGAGGGCAGCCAGTGGTTACCCAGAGCCCCAAGCGGGGGGTGAGCAGTCCCAGGCTGGGCTCCCAGGCCCTCCCATGCTGACAAGACCTCCCCCACGCACCCCTGGCAGCGGGCAATGCGGGCATGGCCGCTGCCTATGCTGCCAGGAAGCTGGGCGTCCCCGCCACGATTGTCGTGCCGAGTACCACACCTGCTCTCACCATCGAGCAGCTCAAGAATGAGGGCGCCATCGTCAAGGTGGTGGGCGAGGTGAGTGCCAACCCAGGGCAAGAGCCACGGGGGCACCTGGTGGCAGGGCAGGCTCCCCTCAATGCCTCACCCCCTCCCACCTCCCCTGTGGTCTTACAGACACTGGACGAGGCATTCGAGCTTGCCAAGGCCCTGGTGAGGAACAACCCAGGCTGGGTCTACATCCCCCCCTTTGACGACCCCCTCATCTGGTACGTGGAGCCCAGGGACACCTGGCGTGATGGCGGCCACCTCCCATGCCACTGCACAGGCGCCTGCACAATGCACGCCATCACCCTGTCGTGCGCAGCAATTGTACACGTGTGTACACAGACCCTGTCCCCTCCCTGTGCGCATACCTTTGTGCAGAAGCACATGCCCACGAGCACGGCCGTCGGGTGCACACACACATGTACACAGATGCTCACTCTCAGGGGCTGCACGCAGCACACCCAGCAGGTGGACACACAGGTGCACCCAGATATGCAGGTGAGGTTGGGTTCCCCCAGAAACAGACCCTGAGACAAGGATTCCAGGGAAAGCAGCTTATTTGGGAGGGGTCTTGGTTTCCTAGTGCTGCCATTTAACAGAAATCCCACAAGGGGGTGGCTTTAAAGAACAGACATTTATTTTCTCACAGTTCTGGAGGCTGCAAGTCCCAGTCAGGGTCTTGGCAGTGTCGATTCCTTCTGTGAGCCTCTCTTCTAGTTTCTGGTGAGCCTTGGCATTTCTTTGCTTGTAGACGCTCCTCACATGGCACCTGTGTGTGCCTCTGTGTCTAATCTGCTTTTTTTGTAATGCAGGAGTGATTAGATCTAGACCCTGCCTTTCTCAGGTGTGATCTGTTTCCAAACAGGATTCCATCCACAGGTATAGGGTTTAGGATTCCAACACATATTTTGGGAAGACACAATTTAATCCATAACAGGAGGTGATTGCAGGAAATAGGAGTTGGGAGTGGGGAAAGGAAGGAAGCCGATAAAGGGTGCTTTCATGATCAGGAGACTGCTGGGGCCACCTGGAGCTTAATTGCTTTGGAGAACCTTGGAAGCTAGTGTAGAACCCGTACCTCAGTTATTCCACCCAGGGGAGAGTGGGCTGTGGCATTTATACACCAACTCCCATAGTCAGCGGTGGAAGACTGCTCTCAGGGGATGTTAATGTCCTGGCACTTCCAGTTGACACCTGTGTGGGCAGCCCCAGTGGCCAGGGAAAGTCCTCAGCAGAGGGATGCAGATGCTGGCAGGGAATCCAGGTGGAGTAGGGGTGGGGAAGACTAGTCCGAGGCCCCTCAGATGCCTGGAATGAGGGCAAAGGCAGACCCTCAGCTGGTGTCTGCAGGAAGCCCGGCCTTGACCAGCCATGCTTCCTTCCCCCACCCTGCAGGGAAGGCCACACTTCCATCGTGAAAGAGCTGAAGGAGACACTGAGCACAAAGCCGGGGGCCATCGTGCTGTCGGTGGGCGGAGGGGGCCTGTTGTGCGGAGTGGTCCAGGGGCTGCAGGAAGTGGGCTGGGGAGACGTGCCCATCATTGCCATGGAGACCATTGGCGCCCACAGCTTCCACGCTGCCACCACTGCCGGCAAGCTGGTCTCCCTGCCCAAGATTACCAGGTGAGTAGCTGGGTGTGCAATAACACCCCGCTTGGAGCCCCCACCCCCACCCCCACCACCCAGTGCTGGCTTCGAGGTGGGTCCTGATGTCAGTCAGCCCATTTCACAAGTGAGGACACTGAGGCTTTGGTTACTTGCCCAGAGTCATGTAGCTGAAACTCAAATTCAAGTCTGTCTGACTCTACTATTGTCACACTTCCTTATGCTATCGCGATAATCGTTTATTGAGTTATACAAACCTCATTTCATTAATTCTCCAGCCATTGACTGAGCCCCTAATATGTGTATGATGCAGGTTGATCTTGGGGAGAGAGTGGTGAAGAAACACAGCCCCTACTCTCAAGAAAGTTCATACCCTGCCCTCAGACCTTTGATATATGGTATATAGTTAGGATTAGGTTAGGATGCATTACCCAGAAACCCGAAATAACAATGGCTTAAACAAGACTGAACTTTCTTATGTTTAAAAAAAAGGCCCAGAGGTGGGCAGTCCAGGAGTGGAATGGTGGCTCCACAAAGCTCCATTTAGTTGGCCCACCATCCTTAGTATGTAGCCTTATGATCCAGAATGGCTGCTTGAGCACCAGCTATCACATCCACACTCCATCAGGCAGGATGTCCCTTTAAGGACAGACACAATACTTCCACTTGCATCTTATTGGGCAGAACTTAAGTTACATGGCCGCACCTAGCTGCAAGGGAGTCTGGGAAATGTCTTTATACCAGGCATCCATGTGTGCAGCTAAAACAGATACTGGGGGTAGACAACAGTCTCTGCCACAGATAGGGAAGACTGAGTACTGAGTTCAGGTAAGAACTTCCTCTGGCTGCCTGAGTCTGGCACCTGGAGCTTGTGCCTCCCAGGTTGCTGTGGGGCCTCTCTGCTGGCACACTGTTGGGAATGAAGAAATAATTGAGTGACTACTCTAAGCCCCATGCAGGGCTAACAGCTAAGGTGGTCCAGGCCCTGGAGATGCTCATGGGTGAGAGGAGGAGATGAGGTGGGGAGAGGAGCTGGGAATAGAACTAGTAGTCACCCCAGGGAGGCTGGGAAAGCTTGAACACAGTGATTACACGTGCAAGTTCTCAAGTTACACGAATCCTGCCTGCAGTCTCAGCACCACCATTCCACGGTGACAAGTGACTGCACCCTTCTCTGCCTCAGTCTCCTCATCTATAAATTTGAACGGATAATAGCAACCACATCAAGAATTGTTTCGAGAACTATGTAATGCTTGTGAAATTCTTGGCACCTAATGCTTTCTCAAGAAGTTGTCACTATGCGTATTACTATGGGGAGTGGTGGAGGGGAAGACCCATTTGAAAATTCCACACAGGACCAGGGGACAGAGTATGCCCCTGGAGGGCTCCCTGGAGGGCTCCCTGGAGGAGGTGGCCTTCACCTTGAGGACAGGGCAGGACTTGGGCAGGCAGAGCAGTGCTAGCTCAGTGAGGGCATCCAGATGGAGGGTACAACCTGGAGCAAAGAAAGGCAGGGGATCCTCTCTGGGAGTTTCTCAGGCATTTGCACCTGAATCGATGTTGAACAGAATGCGATGCTATTTATCCAGATTCAAACCATCCATGCCTTATTAACAGCCTCGCACTGTTTGGAGGAGCCCCTGGGACTTTTCAGTGCCTTACAGCTGCAGGGGGTACGCCCCATCCCCCTGCCCAATGACCCATTGCTTCCTCCCTCTCACTAACCATCTTTTGGTCTCTTTCTCTCCTCTCTTCCATCTCCCTGATTCTCCCATTCCTGTCCTCTTCCCCTGTCCCAGTGTTGCCAAGGCCCTGGGCGTGAAGACCGTGGCAACTCAGACCCTGAAGCTGTTTCGAGAACACCCCATTTTCTCTGAAGTGATCTCAGACCAGGAGGCCGTGGCTGCCATTGAGAAGTTTGTGGGTACATGCCAGTCCTTCCTGCTGACTCAGCTAAGTGGCTGTCAACTTTGTGTGCCAAGGGATCCCATTCATCTCACATTTTCCTCACAGTTCTGTCTCCCATGCCTGCCTAGACCTTCCCCATTAAGGAAAGATAATACAACATAGTAACAAAATAGAAAGATCAAAGCCACAAATGAAGTCTGATGACCATGACATCATAATCTATTCAACATCAATGACAACATCATGACTACCAGGTTATTAATGTTGATTCTGAGCTTCCTGGCAGCCAGGGTAATAAAGGAAAGCATAGGGCTCAGAGTTAGACTCAGAAATGGGTCTATAGCTAGGTTGAAACTTAGATTTGGCATCAGGTTATGACAGGGTAATAAAAAGAAAGCCTTTATGCAGTCACTTAACCCTCTTGTACCCACAGCCAACCTGGCTAATCTATTATGGCAGTCTTATTCAAACGATGCCTCAGAACCCTTCTTTTTTAATTTTATATTTTGAAATAATTATAAACTCATAGGAAGTTGCAAAAATAGTACAGAGTCCCCATGTACCCTTCCTCCAGCTTCCCCCAGTGGTGGCATCTTATATCATGACCAGGAGATTGACACTGATACAGTAATATTAAGTAGACTACAGACCTTACTCAGTTTTCATTTTTTATGTACACTCATTTATGTGCGTTAGAGTTCCTGGGTGGCACAAATGGTTAAGTGCCCGGGGCTACTAACTGAAAGGTTGGCGATTCAAGTCCACCCAGAGGCACCTCAGAAGAGAAGCCTGTGATCTCCTTCCAAAAAATCAGCCACTGAAAACCCTAGGGAGCACAGTAGTACTCGGACACACATGGGGTCACCCTGAGTCGGGATCAACTTGATGGCGACTAGTGTTTTAAGTGTGTGTGTGTGCGTGTGTGTGTGTGTGTGTGCGTGTGTGCACTTCAACTTGTTGGTATATCTTACAGATTGAGTAGCAGGCCCTAGTGATCTGCTTCATTCTTATTACTTCATTCATTATTTGTATGAGTTATCCTTTATCATTCATTTAACCAGATCCTACTGAAGGGCACTTTCGTTGTTTATGGTTTTCAGAATCCTTTTTAACACAGTGCTGAGGCAATTACAATAATTTTAACAGTATCAGCACTCATGATGAAGCCCAGGCCCCGGCTCAGGGCTGGGGAAGGTCAGTCTAGGAGGGTGAGGGGAGGCTTGGTCTGGGGCTGAGTCTGATGAGCTCACTACCCTCAAGCTCTCCCAATGGCCAACAGTTTCCTTGCGCTCTGTGGAGCCCAGGCCTGGCCCTCACGTCTCCCTCCTCTGGCAGATGACGAGAAGATCCTGGTGGAGCCCGCCTGTGGGGCAGCCCTGGCCGCAGTCTACAGCCACGTAGTTCAGAAGCTGCAGGGAGAAGGGAAGCTCCATGCCCCCCTGGCCTCCCTCGTGGTCATCGTCTGCGGGGGCAGCAACATCAGCCTGGCCCAGCTGCAGGAGCTCAAGGACCAGCTGGGCATGAAAAATGGGCTGCCAAAGTGAGAAGTCCTCACCCACTTGACGGCCTGCCCAGGACAGCCCTGGAGGGGCTGGACTTTTACCCATTGCCTCATTGTAAATAGGATTCTTGTGTTTGGTGGTGAACCTGTGGCCTGCACTGGCAGCTGCATCCTGGCTGTCAGGAGTCCAACATGCGGAGGGGCCGGTGCTGCCCGAGACAGGGCCATCGAGGCTGTGAAGTTAAGGGCCAGGCTCTTACCTTCTTTGGTATCTGTGTGGCAACTCGGTGACCATCCTTAGCCACCCCTGCTAGGGGTGGACAATCGCCCACATGTAAGCCTGTGGCTGCCGTCTTGGAGCTGAGGATTGTGGGAAACTCCCAGTGCGAGGAGCCGAGTGAAGCTGGCTGCATCTGTAAGGGTGGACCCTGCCTTTCCTGGGTCCCCAGAGCAGGGTGGTTGGGGAGGGACCTGGATCACAACAGGCCAGACCTTCTTGAAGCAAGCAGAGCCCACCCGACTTTCTCCCTGGGAAGAAGGATGGGCCAGTGTCCAGGGTCAAGGAACCATCTCCTCTTTCCTCTCCAGAAGCCCAATCCCACCCTTACTCATTTTTCTAATGTACAAACTTTTTCACTGACAAAGAAAATACATATTTATGAAACATACCTCCTCTGAAAGTTTCTCCATCGTCAGCTCTTTCCCTCTCTCCACCTTCCACCTCACCATGCTGGCTTTCAGCCACACGCTCAAGCCCCTGGGGTGCCATAGGAACCCTTGGGGCCAGACACAGAGGCCAGGAGGCCACTCCAGTGGGGTCTGAGTGCCAGGAGGGGGCATCCCTGCATTACAGGAAGCAGTTGAGGAAGCTGGAGCTGAACAGGAGAGGCTTGGGCCAAGACAAAGGCTGTTCCACTGAAGGCAGAACCCACTGGGGAGGCAGACCTCGTTCTGATGTAACTCCACCACAGAACCACAGAACTTGCGAGCACAGGTAGTGAGTTCCCCATCCCTGGGGGTGTGTAAACTGACCTGGACACCCACTTCTGGGAAAGGGGAGGGGTGGACTTGAAGTCAGTGTCTGCAAACTCTTGAAACACAAAATCCTTTCTTCCAATGAAAGCAAATGCTGAAGGTCAGTGTATAAAACAGATAAGGGTTTTTGGGGTGTGGTCAAGGATCCCATGCCTGCTCACAAACGTCCCTTCATCACCTATAGCAGCCCCCAGGACACTTTTTTTGGAACTCCAAGTTCACAGTAAAGTTTGAAAACCACTATAACCCCCCCTCAGATACACACCAGTTGCTGTTGAGTCGATTCTGATTCATGACGACCTCATGAGCTTCGGAGCAGAACTGTGCTCCGTAGGGTTTTCAATGGCTGATTTTTCGGAAGCAGACTGCCAGATCTTTCTTCTGAGATGCCTCTGGGTGGACTCGAACTGCTAACCTTTTGGTTAGCAGCCAAGCGTTTGTACCACCCAGGGACTCCCAGATCCACACAGCCTTGCAGAATTTGCCCTCAACCCGAAATAGCAGCAGCTACAAAGTTTCAGAGGGAAAGAGGAAACCCACCCCAAACCCAAACGGGCAACAAGCCTTCCTACCCATTTTGTCAGGAGGGGCAGTGCAGTGCACAGTATGTGGCACTTGGAAAAACTGGGACGGGGCTTCAAGGGAGGGCTGGCGGGGCAGGGAAATCTAATCAGCCCCTCGGCCCCAGAATTTCTCCTGGTGGGGGAGTGAAACTTTAAAATATTCTCAGTTCAGGAAAACCAGGATTGCTTTCAGCTTCTACTGCCCTGCCTGAGCCAGATATGGAAACCCCTAGAGGCAGAGGAGCCCTGGTGACACAGTGCTTAAGAGCTCCGCTGCTGACCAAAAGGTTGGCAGTTCGAATCCACCAGCCGCTCCTTGAAAACTCTATGGGGCAGTTCTACTCTGAACCAAAGGGTCACTACACGTTGGAAGTGACTCGACTCCAACAGGTTTGGTTTTGGTTTTAAAGAGGCAAACACGTCTGCCCCCTAAAGGAGGAACTGAGGCACAGCGGGCTGGTCCTCAGGGAAGGGCAGAACCAGAGATGAGCCGGCCGCTGCCATCTTCAAACCAACCATGGTGTGAAAGCCAGCTGCCTCTGTAAAGGTGGACCCTGCCATTCACGGGCCAGCTGAAGCCCTAATGGGGGACCATCCACGACACCCCTATACTCTATTCAGAGTCAACCTGACTTCAAGCTGCCCCCAAACCCCCCAGTAAGCACAGAGGGGCCAAAATCACTCTAAGGAATAGGCTGGAGCTGGCCCTTCCCATGGAGTGACCCTGGATGAGTACCACCACCGCCTTGAGCCTCCACTTCCTCATCTGTCAAATGGGCCTCATAGTGGCCCCAGCCCCAGGGGTGACTGTGAAGATTCCATAACTGGCACACAGTAGGTGTGCAGTTCATGCTGTCATGGATTGAATTGTGTCCCCCCCCCCCCGATATCTGTCAGCTTGGCTGGGCCATGATTCCCAGTATTGTGTGACTGTCCACCATTTTGTCATCTGATGTGATCTTCCTTTGTTGTAAATCCTACCTCTAGGATGTTAATGAGGTGAGATTAGCAGCAGTTATGTTAATGAGGCAGGACTCAATCTACAAGATCAGTTTGCGTCTTAAGCCAATCTCTTTTGAGATATAAAAGAGAGAAGTGAATAGAGACAAGGAGACCTCATACCACTAAGAAACAAGAGCCAGGGGAACAGCATGTCCTTTGGACCCGGGGTCCCTGTGCTCAGAGCTCCTTGACCAGGGAAGATAGATGACAAGGACCTTCCTCCAGAGCCGACAGAGAAAGCAAGCCTTCCCCTGGAGCTGAAATTTGGACTTTTAGCCTCCTAGACTACAAGACAATAAATTTCTCCTTATTAGAGCCATCCACATGTGGTATTTGTTATAGCAGCACTAGCTAACTAAGACACTACTGTTCTGCCAGAGCCTGCAGCATCACAAGATGGGGGGGGGGGGCGGTAATTACTGGTCCTGGGAAAGTCCGCAGGCCTGGGCTCCAGTCACTTCCCTCCACCAAGCCTGCTTCCTTATCTGTAAAAAACATATGAAAACCACAGCATCTCCCACCTAATAGGGCTGTCGTGAGCAACAGAAACAGATGCAGGGTACAGAAAGATTCACAGGGAGCTGGGAACTGGGAACTGAAAGCTGGTTTTTGAAAACCACAAGTTATCAATTCCCAGAGAACAGGGATTGCAAAGCTACAGCGAGGAGCAGGAAGAGCAAGCCCTCTCCGGGCCCAACCTTCTTTATTTTCTCCAGAGCATGTATCAGCATCTGACATACTGCCATCTTTGCTTACTGCCTCCCTGACCTGAACGTGAACTTCACAAGGGCAGGGATCTTTTTGTTCATGGAAATATCCCCAGTACCTTGTACCAATACCCGGTGTGTCCGGTGTCCGGTAAATATCTGCTGATGAACAGTGTGTGTGCGTGAGGTCCTGTGTGGACCACGTCACAGCAGGGAATCCTTACTACACTCCCACCAGGGAAGTACGGTTCATGTCATTACCCCATTTTACAGATGAGGTAACTGAGGCTGAGAGGCTGAATCCCATAGCTACTGAGAGGAGGAGAGAGGATTAGAACCCAGGTCTCTGACCACAGGGCTTGTGTGCTTTCCTCTCCCAAGCGCACAGCACTTGTCTACAGTGTAAGCTCTATGTAGGCATGGTTAAGAGGGACCCTGTTTTATGTTGGTCCGGCCTTAAGAAGGTCTTGGTGGTTAACAGGGCCCTGGTACTATTACTGAGCATAACAGTGCTCAATAAAACATCTGCACGGATGAATAGATGGATGGATGGGTGGATGGATGGACAACGAGTAGACAGGTTGTCAGACAATTAGACAGACAGGTGGATGGATGGATGAATGGGTGGATAGATGAATGGATGGATGGACAGACGGATGGGTAGATAGATGGACGATGGGTAGATAGGTTGTCAGATGATTAGACAGATGGACAGGCGGATGGATGGATGGACAGATGAATGGGGTGGATGGATGGTCAATGGGTGGACAGGTTGTCAGATGATTAGACACGTGGACAGGCAGATGGATGGACAATGGGTAGACAGGCTGTCAGATGACTAGAGAGAGATGCACAGGCGGATGGATGGACAGATGCATAGGTGGATGGATGGACAACGGGTAGACAGGTTGTCAGATGAATAGACAGATGGACAGGCGGATGGACAGACCAAGAATGTACAGGTGGATGGTACAGAACTCACACACGAGAGAAGAAAAGGCATCCACCCAGCTTCCCTGCCGTCCCCAAGAAGCACAGCCAAGGGCCACAGCCTCTCCTTTAATTCGGCACAGCCTGCGGTTGGCTCCTCCAGGGGGGCTGTGGTCATGCCTGAGGCCAGAGGCAGAGCCAGTGGGGGGTCGGAGGGACACGGGCAGGAGTACAGGTGCTGACTCTCCTGCTGCCCCCAGAAAGGAGGAGGACATTCAGGCCCTCCAGCCACAAGCTGCCAGAAACTTTGGTTTTTGTTTGTTTTCAAGCTTCTTCCTCAAGGAAGCTGCCCAGAAGAAGAGACACAGGGCTGCTTCCCCAAGGAGCAGAGGGGCAGGAGCTGGGGACAAGAGGTGGGATGCCTACTCGAGAGAATGCCCAGGTCCTGGAGCTGCAGCCACCCTGCCCCTGGCAGCTGGGGCGTGAAACCCCACAGGCTCAACACCACCAGCGGGAACAATGCTCCTGCCCACTGGGGGCCCGAGCCTGCTCCTGGGACCCTCCCAGCCCTCAGGAGAGGGCGGCCATCAGAAAGGGGCACCCATCAGGAGGGGGCCCCAGAGGCGGGGAAGAGCCAGAGAGAAGCAGAGGGAGACAGAGACAGACGCAGAGAGTGGGAGGTAGAGACAGACAGAGAGACAGACGCAGAGAGAAGTGAAGGGTGACAGGGATGGCGCTCACCCACCTCAGGGGAGAATGGGTGTCAGTTCTGGGCCCCCTGGGGCGCGCCTACCCCGGGAAGAGACCGCCCAGACAACAGTGAACCCGGTAAATGTAGTTCCGGGGCGTAGCAGGTAGCAAGGCCCCAAAAGGGGTGTGGCAGGAGGGCAGCGGCCAGCAGCGTGGGGTGGCCCTGCTGAGGTCAGCAGGGCAGAAGGCAGCAGAGTAGTGGATGAGCTTCAGTCCCACCAGACCTCGACGGGCAAGAACTTCCAGAGGTCGGGCTGGCCCATGTGCAGCAGGCTGTGGAAAGGCGAGGTGCTCCACTGGAACGGGGGCAGCTGGTCCCACGTGGGGCCGCTGACTGCTAGAAGGCGCAGGGCCTTGGCCATGGCTGAGCTGGTCACCTGGGGGCCAGGGTGGAGGAGGTAGCTCAATGCCAGTGCAGGGGAGGTCCCAGCCTGCCCAACCCGGCAGGGGTGAGGGCTCTGGCCCCAATCCCAGCCTGTTTCTGGTCCTGACCCCTATCCTAACCTGGACCCCATCCCAGAGCCCAATTCTGACCCTGACCCCACTTTAAAACTGACTCCAAACCTGACTTCACCTTAACCTTGACCTCCACCCCAAGCCCAACTCTGACCCTGCCCCACCATCTGCTTTGACCCCAGCCTTCACCCCCAGCTCTCCCCAGGGCTGGTGATGACCACCTCCCACCCATACCCCTCAGGCTCCCTGGTCCCCTCGGGGGGGGGGCCGCACCTTCACGTCGATGCCCCCGTGGGAGCGCTGGTGCAGGGCCTGGAAAGGGTAGGAGCCGTTGGCGGGGTTGAGGTCAGAGCGGGCCGAGATGGCATTCTCCGCGTTGGGCTGGGGGGTGCAGGCACTGCACAATGACAGCGGGTCGTGAAGGAAGTCATTGTACCTGGAGGGGCCATGGAGGGGGGACATCGGTCACCCTGGGCAGGGGGAGGCCTTCCCATGGTGGCAGCCCTGTAACAGCCCCCCGGCCTTCTGCCCACTCCTTCTCCATGCCTGGCACCCCCGCTGCCTGGCTTCTGCTCAGCCTGTTTCCTCTCCCAGGGTCCCTTACCCCTGTCACCAAGCCATTTCACACTCAGCAGGCCTCCCCCTGCCCAAGCAAGGACCCCTACTTCATCCCTGGAGAGCATGGGGCCCAAACAGTTCTGGCCCCCATCTACATCAGCAAGAGCAGTCGGCAGATTTCTGCATCTCCCTGAAGACGGAGGGGGACAGGTTTGGTGCCCGTTTCTCCCAGTCCCAAGCACAGCACCCAGCACAGGGGGATCACTGTCATGGTGGTCAGCATTCTTGCCGCACCATGAGGACAGTAATGGGTCTGCCCTCCCACTGTTCCGGAGGTTAAACACCCTTGTCACCCACAGAACCCTCCAGGGCACAGAAAGCCCTACTGAACCCCCTAATTCCCAGGCTCAATCTCTCCCCTCCGCCACCAGCCCGTGCCCACCGCATAAGCCGGATCATGGAGTCCATGTCATGCACCAGGGACTGGTTCCGACGGAAGATCTGCGCCCGCGGACTCCCATCGTAGGAGAACCAGGCTCCGTACCGGGCCACCAGGGCCTGCAGCCCACTGGCATTGAAGACAGTCTCAAAGGACCTGCCGGGGATGAGGCTGGTCACCCAGGAACCCCTGGCTGCATGCTGCCGTGGCCTGGGAGGCGGAGGGGTCATCACACCAGGACACTATCCCGGGACATTATTATTAACTACAGTCAAGGTAACCACAATAATGTCTTTCGTTTGTGCTGCGGGTGGGTGGCCAAGCTCGGGCTCTGGGGTCCAACAGATATGGTTCAAATCCTGGCTTCACCATTCACCAGCTATAGAGCCTTGGGAGTTAGGCAACCTCTCAGGGCCTCAGTTTCATCATCTTTGAAATGGGGGCAGTAACAGTAGCTTGTGTACTGCGGTTTGAAGGATTAAATGAGGTAACACAGTGCGTATCACAGAGATGGGGGCTGCAGAGACCAGGGCTCCCAGTTAACCAGCTTCTGCTGGAGAACCACGGCAGGGTCAGCGCCTGGACCCAGCCACCTCCACCATCTGCTGTGGGTGCCAGAATTGAGAGGTCACATGGATGCTGACCTAAGCCACACAACTGTACCCGAAAACCGTCATGCCTTTCCTGGCCAGACAGAGGTTTAAAAAGTCACCTGGGGAAGGATGACCCCTTACTGGCATGGAGAGCTGAGCGAGGGGCAAGGCAGATATGGGGGTAGAGGGGGGCACGTACGGTAGGTTGTAGCTGGCCCAGTAGGTGTTCCGGTAGAGTTCGGAGGTCTTGTCGGCCACCACCACCATGCCCCTGGGACCAACAAGTGAGATGGGGTGGGCTGGTCAGAGAACGGGCCTCCATGGGCACTGCCCTACACAAGGACCCCTGATGGCTCCCCATTGCCTGGCAGATAGATACATTATATCTTAAATCTTCAGCCCTGCATCCAAGGCCCTGCCCAGTCGGGGGTTGCCTTCTCTTCCAGCCTCACCTTCCTGAGGTCTGCCCTCCCACAGGTGTTCCAGCACCTTCACCTAGGCAGTGCCCTGGGGCTGGAGTTCCCCGCCCTCTCTCTCAGGTACTCACGGGATCTGCTCCAGGATGGTGAGCACCTTGCTCCCAGGGCTGGGCTTGCTGGGGACAAACGCCTTGTAGTCCACGATCATCCACTGGTTGTTGTACCTGCCGTGCCAAGGAGAGAGGGCTCAGCAGAGCCTGAGGCCACTGCCCCTGCCTCTTCTGCCCCAGTGCCTCACACAGCCAGGAATCATGGGGCAGGGGGTGGCCTGGGTATCTGGCCATCAGATTGTCACCCTGACACTGCAGCTTAATCAGGCTTCCAGAAACCCATTTCTTGTCACACTGCTCACCTGCTCCAGAATATTCTATGGCTCCCTCATGCTTATCAAAACTAAGGTCAATTCCTCTGCCTGATGCTCTAAAACCTACACTCCACAGTCCCAACCCTTCTGGTTCACTTCCTTGGATGGCCCTCCTCAGCGCCGAGTCCCTAGACCCCTCAAGTTCCAAGTTCCCCTCCTGCCTCACCTCCAGTGGGCCTCTCCCTGGGCTAAGGAGCCTAGAGAGGAGGGTAAATCCTTTCCTTCCTGAGCCCCAGTTTTGCTAAGTATAAAATGAGGGCTGGGACTCTAGGATACCTTCCAACTGCAATGAGAATCCACAAGAGGGCTCTGCAGAAGGTATGGGGTGTGGCCCAGGCCCACATCAGTTCCCCCAGGGTCTGAGTGTTAAAGGGGCGTTACTGCATTTCTTAAGAGCCCTGGTGGCGCACTCGGCTGCTAACTGAAAAGTTGCAGGTTCAAACCCACCAGCCACTCCTTGGGAAAATGATGTGGCAATCTGCTTCCATAAAGATAACAGCCTTGTGGGGACCATGGTCTCGGGGAATATCTAGCTCAACTGGCATAACACAGTTTATAAAGACAATGTTCTACATTCTACCTTGGTGAGTAGCATCT